CCCCAAAACCCCAAAACCCCAAAACCCCAAAACCCCTGGTCTACGAGACAGGATTGAATTATTTAGAACTAGTAATCATCTTAGTAACAATCACAGACTATTGCATATTTGAATCCATTAGTTTTGAATTCATTTTGGAGGAAATCATTGACAAGTTCTCTAGTAATTAGCTCTCCATGTTAGTCCATAAATTTTTCTCCAAATTCTGCTGTAAATTTTGCTCCTAAGTCTTTTCCAAATTGTTTGGCAAAAGAATTTATAAATCTCTCTTCAAATATTTCTTCAAAATCTTTTCCAAATTCTGAGCCGTCAAAGTGAAATTCTCCGAGGCTTTGCTTGAAATCGGAAGAAGTGGCTAGCCCTTTAATCAGGTTCTTAAGCTCTTTGGATTTAGTCCAGGCGTTGCTACAACCTGAGAATCTGCAATGAAGTAGTTTTATCTTTTCCATAGTAGCACCCTTGAGACCGTGGGAAAGATCTGGAACTCTTGGAATATGAAGTTCTCACCAACTAATCTCTAGAATTTCAACATGCCTAGACGCTGCAAGAATTCTTTTAAGTTGTTTTTCGTTGATATAAAAATGCATAAAACATATTTCAACGCTAAGTCTTGGGCTAATTCTTGAGATTTGGGGTAACAGATGATCCAGAGATATATGACCAGACTCCAAGCGGTCTATTACTAAAGAGTTTCATTTTCTTGGGAAATTGTGAGAGAAGAAGATTCGTAAATCCTTAGTTTTCTTTAAATGTATCCAGATCATTGCGCTACCAGGAATGTCCATTAATCAGTTTTTATAGAAGGCAACCAAAAATTCTTCAGTGTACAGAAAACGATGGGGTTTGGTTAATTCGATATCGCTAACACAAGAATCCCCAAATTCAGGATAAACTTTGGCTTGTAAATCTTCGTGTCTCTTCAATAAGTCTATATTCAAAGTTTAGGGAATTCTAGGATCGATGAAAAAGTTGCATTATCAAGATAAATGTCAGTAGAAATTTATTGCTATTGTATTACAAAATGATGATCTACAGAAATTTTTAAAGCTACAAGGTCTGAAGATCAACCATCTATTTAGACGCCGAACTGGGTCTTAAGCATCTCCATTCAATGAACATTTGTCAAGTCAGAGCTTATACCTATCTCACAGTGTCTAAATACTGCAAAATTTCGGTAACTTTGAATATCAGAAGGAAGTTGAAAAATTAGCCAATTTTTAGTAGAGTCGCAGAGGTTTCAATTGAAAGTTAACTTATTGGCTACAGGCAATACTACAACACATTGAAGTCAGAGTCAAAGCATATAGAATTTTATGTCACTGAAATATAGACTCCTTTCTACTTATTATTTGAAGTTATATCAAACTAAAATTTTGATAAGTAAAGTTAGTTTTGAAAACTTGACAAAACTACTATGCTCACCTAATTCCTTCTGGACCATTTCTGATCTAGACTTTTGAGTGAGATGTCTGTAAGTCAATCTTGCAGGAGCAACCACTAATGAAGATTTATTTTCTATTCAAGGATCTAGGTTCAGTGAATTATCTATTCACAGCTCCTTTTGGCTCAAATCTGGTAAGATACTTCTGTTACAGTCCTCAGTAGCATCTAGGTGGTCTGACTGAAATGAAGCATGATTGCTGGTTCCTATTCCTCTTTTAGCTATCAACCTACTTTCAGGAAACCCCTTTTGATGGAGAGTTTCATCAGCTTGATTTTTGGCAATTTTCTTGCTGAAATTACTGAGTGATGGATTTTTAGCAAGTTTTCCATTGCCTATGAATGAGGTTAAAGTCTTCTTACTCGAAAGTTCAATATCTGAGATTTGGATATCTTGAATCTGGTGTCTCTTTGGTTCCTCTCTATTCTAGGAGTTACTTGATTGATAAAATTTTGGAGTTCACAATCTTTCAACTTTGAGAGAAGAGTCAAAATCATCTTGAATTTCTTGTTGCTCACTCTCTCTTCTCTTTTCGACGCTCTCTTTCGATAACTTCAATGATGAACTGAGTAAATCTTGATCGGATGGGGAGGCTTCTTGATCTTGTTGCGGCTGGGCTCCAAAATACTCATATCTTTGCTTGGCTTGCTCCATATCCTTCTTGATGCTCTTCAAAGCTTCTGCAACACACTGAGTTCCTTCCCCAGACTCTGGATCAAAAGCCAGTCTGAGCTTTGAAATGCCCGCATCCTTCGGAGTGTCATTCTGAGAGTTTGGGCTGTTTAAAACGTGTGGGATGAAACCAAAAGACACTGAGACACTTACCAGAATAATCTGACTGAAAAACTTGTGCTTTGTTCTCTCTGTCCATTTTGAGTGTAAATAATTAATATTTGATTTTTACTTCTAGGAATATCACGGGGTTTTGGGGTTTTGGGGTTTTGGGG